GATAATTGTTATAATAGTTTTGTGTATATTTTAATCTATCTGCAGTTGAAAAGTAAACTCAAAATACATAAAGCCATTTCATTCTTATAAATTTGATTTCTAGAAAGGCTATCCTAGCAAATATGATGATTACCAAGGGTATCAGATATAGATGGTGATTGAATTAATTGTTCATATTAGAACTTGTTACTTCATTTTCCAATCCTTTGAAGCAAGATTTGAGCCTATAAAAGGTCTAGTTATTTGACCACAGATGTTTACGATCTTTTTCTCACGTTAGGTAGTATAATAAGGTAAGTAATGTTGACGTCAGGCGTAGAGTGTTGGGCAAAGAGGGAAAATCAATAGAAGAGGCTATAAAGTTACATAGATTGAGATGGCTAGGTCACGTGCTGCGCATGCCTAGCCATCGCCTCCCCGGACGGGCATTACTAGCTGATATAGGTGCAGGTTGGAAAAGAGTAAGTGGTGGCCAAACAAAAACATGGCATCAATCCATGAAATCCCTGACAGTTAAACTGAGTCAGGTAGGGAGGGAGATGCAGACTTCCGGGTTGGAGCCCGCCACCGGGACTCTAAGAATCAATGGGTGGAGACAATAGGTGACATGGCTCAAAATCGTTGTCAGTGGCTTACGCAGATGTATTCAGTCTCTGAAATCTTTCATATCCCTTTCTGCCATTACTCATTCTGTTTCACTCTTATACTTGTCTAAATTCTACTGATTCTCTTCACTCATTTTCTTGTCTACCTTTGTGTGCTACATGGAGTGTGGCAACTCAAACTGCTGCACTTCGATGCCAAGTTCTATGTTGAATCCAGCAGCAGCAGCTAGTTATTTACGAAGATAACCTTTATAATCCCCTGATTTTTAATTACTTTTGTTAACCATCCGTCTCATGGAAAAGAATTCGCTGAACATTTATCATACATATTGAATTTATTTTTAGTACATACAACGCACACGGGTATATATCATACTTGTAATTTAGAGAAATATATATGTATATAAACACGGAATATTGAATTACTTTCAAAACAATTTATTCATGTATAGAGGTTAAGTGTCTTCAGTTTTCGATTAGTGAAGAACGTAAAATACTGAAAACAACAAAATTATTCAATATAGACCATCTATCTCTGAAATGTGCGTCGGTGGCATAGCGGTTAGGACGTTCACTGACCATGCACATGGTCCGGGGTTCGACCCCCGGCCGACGCACTCCTTTACCTCGCTAAGCCAGAAATAATGCTGGTGAAGACGAAAGGTTGGGCATGAGGCTAGCAACCCCATTCTGTAAAATAAGCACTGCCACAGAAACTTCAAGCCCTCTGTTCCACTGGGGAACGTGAAGGAAAAAGAATCTCTGAAATGGTTCAGCTGATGCACCAGTCAGTATTCAATGTGAAGATGTTGCTCACTGACTTAAGCATTCAACTTTCTAGCCAGTCGATCGCAGGTTCTAATTGTGCTCCGCCTGTTACAATCTAGGCAGCTAGGCAGTGTCATCAGCTCTCCCACAATAAGTGTGGCTCATAGCCTGGTATGTGGAAAATCTGTTCTGGGTAGATAGATGAATTGCAAGTATTTAGGTAAAAAAATATTGATATAATTCATATAAATAAAAAATTTATCTCTGGCATTTGTGATTCATTCAATAGTCTTTTAATTTTATGTTTCTTATTTCCCTGTAATATATTTATTTATTATATCAAGCAAGTATTTCAATGCTTAATGGGGGTAGGCTGCATGGTATTATATATATATATATGTCATGAGAGAAAATTCAATCTGTCAAAAAAACTATGCTTTCATTGTATATTGTGCGCTATAACTGAAAGATAAATTGATAGACATACTGACAACTAAAATTGAAGTTTTATTCTTTTAATGCAGTAGTATAGAGGGGATATCTAAACAATGCATATAAAAAAAGCTTTACTATTGATATTTGTATGCCTTTATTCGTTAAAGTAATAAACTTAGGACCCATAAATACTGGGATTGTAGAATCAAATAAATCTATTTTATAGTACAATATCTTGTCACCTTCAAACTACCTAAAATTAAAAAGGGCGATCAGTATTTTTGCGAAAATAATATACATTACAGCTATGAGTTTTGAATTTATTCTGCATTCTAGCCTAAAAAAGGCCGTTATTAGCGTATAAAGGCATGTTATAATACTCCGAAATCGAAGTTTAGAGGGATATGAAAAGATTTCAATCTTGCCATCAACTAGCTGAAAACCGGATGTATAATTTAGACAATGGCGTTTTTAAGGCAAACGTACTTTTAACGTATTTATGTTTCGTGGAAATTAGTTCAGAAAACTATTGAGATATCGGACGCAATGGATATTTATTGTTTTGGAGATATTATTTACTTCCATTTATTGTTAACTCTTCAGTGGTTTCGATAATAAGGTCAACATTTGAAGTTGACATTGATGATGATGACGTCGAGAAGACAACGAAATTTTCTCAGTTCAGCTAATGGAGTTAAAGTATAAAAGCAGAGACGACAATAATTCTTTAGACTATTAAAAAGTTACTTGTGAATGAGTAATATTTTCCACAGGTTATTTGCGACTGAACACACTATGGGAATGTAGCTAAATAGTTTTGAAACTTATTTAATATTATTTTATAGGTTTATATCTTATTTCAAAACTTCATACCATTCTTCCCATTAATAACCTTAAACAAAGCAAGAACAAAAAATGTGCCAGAAGAATATAAACTCATCTTTTATTACAGGATTTCATCATGAGCTGACATTCGTTAGAGAACCATTGGTAGACCTGGGAGTACTGGACAGCTGTTTCGTCCTAGTTTGCGACTCTTCAGCAATACGCACCCACCGGGGTTCGAACCCAGGACCTTCTGGTTACAAGGCGAGCTCGTATACCATTAAGCCACTGGGACCCGATCCAATGGCCGATGAATTCTAACTTCTGCCAATTGGATCGGGTCCCAGTGGCTTAATGGTATACGAGCTCACCTTGTAACCAGAAGGTCCTGGGTTCGAACCCTGACTGTGGGTGCGTACTGATGAAGAGTCCCAAATTAGGACGAAACAGCTGTCCAGTACTCCCAGGTTTTCCAATGGTTCTCTAACTAATGTCAGCTCATGATGAAATCCTGTAACTAATGAAATCCCTACAAAACGAACACTTGAATATCATCTTTTATTATTCCGAGGATTTTTCTCAACTGGTCACAAGCTGAGCAACACAAAAATATAAATTACTTGAATGATTTGAACATACTTTTTTTCGCCATGACAAGGAATAATTAATAGGAACTAAGAGTAGCATAAGTCCAGAAGGATGTAAGTTGTTAAATAATTAGGAGTTAAAAGGATTGATTATTTATAGGATAATTAGACGAATATACTTGGAAACAAAGAGGCAGAGTTCTGGAATTTTTTCTGGTCACAAGGAAAGCCTAACTAGAAACATTATAATAATACAATAGGTTACGTAACTGCAAAAGTGTTTTTTTCTTCTATAAAATAGCGAAATAAAGGCGGTAGGGTATGTCATGCTTAGATAAATTTTAAATATAATTTTCTAAACATTGACAGAAGATGACGCAACAAAATTGTATACTTTGTTATCATCAAGACAGTGCATGGTTCAACACTGTCTCTTTCTGCGTATACATAGAGATTTAGTTTTTAATTGGTTTGATAGCAATCGCCTAAGTAAAACATAGCAAACTAGGTTTGTTTTGAACGCCTTGAGATTGTCTACAATAAAGACCTAGTGTCCAATAGATATGGCATGCAGTTGCACTGTTTAATATATGCAAAAAGTATGCTCAAATCTTTAGTGTAATTTATATTTTTGCGCAGTGTTCAGGTTGTAGCCAGTTTAGAAGAATCCTAGAAACAATAAAAGATGAGCTTATAGCTCTATGTTCCACTAGGAACAAGAAATTAATAATTTATTATTATATTATCATGGTACAATTGGTTGTTCATGCTTTCTTTTGTTGTTGTATTGATGTACATGCCTTGAAATAACTTTTATTATTATTATTATTGTTTTGATAATACTGTTTCAAGAAAATTGTTAACCAGCCGCCTGTTAGAAGTTCTATATCACCTTAATTTGACCTTCACACTACTTTCACATTTCACTAACTGTATCAAAAAAATAAAATAAATAAAATATTTTACTTTATTGCATTGGCTTACACCGGCTATTTATTTATTGATTGTATTGCCTTATGTATATGTATAACTGTAAGGCTGAGAAAAGGCAGACACCGGAGACAATTGTTCTCTCTAATCATTTTCCTTCTGTATCACAATCGTGGGAATCTTTAAATAATGTTTAGGCAATTCGATGTAGTTACTGATAGAATTCTATAAAGGTTGTTTTTGTTGTTGTTATTATTATTGTAGACACCAGTTGTATGGTTTGTTTGTATGTGTGACAATATTATAATATTCAAGTGTTGGTTTGTAGGGATTTGATTGGTTACAGGATTTCATCATGAGCTGACATTCGTTAGAGAACCATTGGAAAACCTAGGAGTACTGGACAGCTATTTCGTCCTAGTTTGTGACTTTTCAACAGTACGCACCCATCTTCAGAGTTCGAACCCAGGACCTTCTGGTTACAAGGCGAGCTCGTATACCATTAAGCCACTGGGACCCGATCCAATGGCTAGCCCATGAATTCTAACTTCTGCCAATTCACGACATAGCGCAACCCCTAGCCAATGTCTTCGGCGAGTATTTGTCCTCACACACGACCTGCTGCACCCTACTGGTCACGACTTCTCACTAGAACCCCAGGTAACTACCTACCTGAATAGGGCAAGTCGCTAGTGAGCTTCTCATTGATATTCAAGTGTTGGTTTGTAGGGATTTGATTGGTTACAGGATTTTCATCATGAGCTGACATTCGTTAGAGAACCATATTATAATAGAATATATATGTCAAATTTCTTTAACCTTTACTTATCTTCTTTCTTCTTTATTTTAGTTGATGAATACTCATTACTTGTTCGCATACTTGGTAAAGTGAGTTCACAATTCATTACAACGTTTTGCAATATATTTCCTTTTTTACTTTAATGTAGTCCTGTACTATAAGCTTAATTAATTAATTTGTCTTGTTTTTATTGTTAAATTACCGAATTACGTATTAATTTGCATACATACAATAAGTTGTTGGCAATGTGTAGTTGATTTCATCTAGACTAAGTAATAAGTGCTAGTTTATTTTGTGATAGCATTTATCCTCATATATACTGGACCAGTAGTTAGAGTTCATGGGCCACTGGATTCCGTCCCAGTGACTGAATGATGTTAACAGGCTCGCCTCGTAACTTGAATGTCCTAGGTTCAATTCCCAGTGGAATTACTCGTGCGTACTGCTGAAGAGTCCCAAACACGGATGAAACAGCTGCCCCAGTACACCCCTGGTTTTTAGTAGTCCTCTAACTGATATCAGTGCGCAATCAAGTTTGAAGTCAATCAAATCCCTAAAAAACTAACACTTGAAAATATGTAATATTGAAGGAATCTATAAAAAGGGAATTGAATGGTAAAAATAAAACATTTAAAACAAAAGAGAAATGACTTATATGTGATTTTTATAAATGATCAATAATTCACTATTGTTATGATTAGCTTGTGAGTATTCGGAACGCAGTTGTTCAATGATAGTTGGAAGAAGAGTATAAAATCACTTCTATTCAATTATTTTGTATTTGATGTAAATATTTGAAATTTGTGGACAGAAGATACACTTATGTTAGTGCAGTTTTCCTTCCTCTTAACTTATTATTACTATTATTTCTTTGGGTTCCGAGTGGAACATAGGACTTCAACAGTCCATCTCAATTTCATCCCGCTCTCTAAAGTCCTCTTTAGCTGGCTTAACGGTTGCCCATAAGCTCTCATCTCCTGTGTGTCACCCTCGTCGTTTCCCATTTGGGGTCCACTCGAGGCCTGCCTGACGCGTGACGCTACTCAACTGTCTCCCTGGTGTATGTCCAATAAATTTCCACTTTCCGTGTCAGATTTGTTGAGCATCAGGTTCTTGGTTAGTTCATCGCCGGAGTTCTTTGTTGCCGCCAGTTCTTTCTGACCATCCGCCTGATCTTCAGTATGGAGCAAAGGCAGCTGTTGATAAAAGTCTGCAACAGGCTGATGGAAATGCTTTTGTTGGTATGCGTGACAAGGGTCTGAACCGTATAAGAGACTACTGATTTGAAATTAGTGTTGAAAATTCGAACCTTGTTGTTTATGCTGAGTGCATTAGATTTCCCCACTGATTTCAGAATAATGTAGGTCTCATCACCGAAAATACCCATTGAGTCATGAAGAAAATAAAAGACAGATTCAGCGAGGAAAATTTTCTTTATCGACGAAATCATCTTCAGAGGCTGTACAGTCGTATTTATACTTACAAAAATATAAAGTGGTCTATTATTGAGTAATAGGGGGTGAGATAATTGATATAATTACTCAGTACCACGTAATTTACATGTTTTAATTTTCACTTCTAAAGCCACTTCTGAGTAATTATATCAATTATGTCACCCCCTATTACTCAATAATAGACCACTTTATATTTTTGTAAGTATAAATATGACTGTACAGCCTCTGAAGATGATTTCGTCGATAAAGAAAATTTTCTTCGCTGAATCTGGCTTACATTAAACGACATGAAACAGAATGTTCAAATCATACATAGTATTCTGTTGCTAACACAGTATTGAACTGTGGAAATATGTGAGAATAATATTCCGTTGGAACACTGTCTGTATCACACTACAACAGATTTACATTGCATTAATGGATAAAGAAAAAAATCTATTAAATCAAGTAGTTCTCTGAAATTTTTCATGAACTTGAGCTAATACATTCTATCACTTGTTTCAACTCAAACAGATTAATAGAATTCATCAGTGAGGATTCTCGTCTGTTTTTTAAACAATGTACAGTGTCAGTGAAGTACTCATGTGATGATATACTTCGGTAGAAGGAACGCATTGATGATTTAAGATACTTATTATATTTGTTGTTGATTGATTCTCTGTGGTTTCTAATTTTGCGTATACTGACGACTGATAGTTTATTCAGTGTGAGTAAGTAGTTTCATAAGGAACTGTTAAGTTATTTCTAGATTTGTCAGCAGATTATTATTTTTGTATTGTGTTGTCCAGTGTTCATTGTATAGTCCTAACTAAATTAAAAATTGTTTTTAGTGCACATTTATTGGCCCCCATTTTATCTTTGGTAAACATTATCTCTGATTATAAAAATCAAGGTATCATGGGATTTAGATTTCTTCTTCTTTTAATATTCTTCAATGGTATGCTAAAACTCTGCTAGCTTACCAATTTAACTATAAATATCTGGATATAAACAGGGGTAAAATGAAAAAACCCTATTGTTTCCAAACTGGAATCAATGCAGTCTCATTATTATTATTATTGTTTTAAGTAAATAAATTGTCCTGAGAGAAGGACATAATGGAAAGATTCATATTGAAGTAGATTAATGCCTAAATTTTAAGATTAAAAGTTGCAGATGAAAGTATATTTGAAAGGTTTCTTGATGTCAACCAATATTAAAAAAAAGAGATTTATTGCCATTCATCGAATGAGGTAGGTTAGATACAGTACAATAAGAAAATCAGTTGTAGATAACGATCTAAACAGTCAAGAATAGAGACAGCCAATGATAATCGTCTGTCTAGTGTTTATCGAAGATCACTTTTATACTAACAGCTGAGTTATTTTTGTATTTGACTATTTTTGTATATTTTGTATTTTGACTAACAAACTAGTGTTCTAATGATGTCTTCTTGTGTCTGATGCTATTTCAGTAATACTGAGGAGGGTAGTGATATGAATAGTGATGAGACGAATGTACATTCAGGCACTTGGGCATAATTATGTCTAGTTGTGCTTTCTCTATACGAAAGCAATTATATATATATATATATCGTGTAAAAAAGGCTACTGGTGATTGAAGAGAATTAATTCCAGTGATTGACTTAAATTGCACTGATAGTACAATTCGTTGAAACATCTGTCACTCAATAAACTTTTTTTTTCATTCGGTCATAGACATTTTCCTATCTATCTTCTTCTATGCATTTATATTTGTGTTTCATTTAACTACCAAACTAATGAAAGTTACATTTGCCTATGTTAGAAACACTTATATATATATATATATATATATATATATATATATATATATATATATATATATACATTAAAGGGAGCACATGTCTCATACGTATTTCAGCTTGAATAATCATTTAGTATCACGAATAACAGTTCGTCTGTCTGTCTGTTTTCGACATAGAACTTTGCACATATGTGCGGCAGTTCAAGTCGCCACATCTCCATGTAGCACACAAAGCAAGAGAAGAAAGTAGGAGAAATGCATATTAGAGACAGTAAACAGAGGAATAGTAATAACGAAGAACAAAACAGTTTCATTGGAAATCATAAGTCACAAGGAGTGGATGCCTCTGCGCCACTGAGAACGATTTTGAGCCATGTCACCAATTGTTTCCAACCATTGGTTTTTACCGTCCCGAGGACCCCAACCAGGAAACCAGTCTACACCTTCCTACGTGGCCTAGACTAACTGTTGTAGATTTCATTGACTGGTGCCATGTTTTCGTTTGACCGCCGCTAGCTCTTTTCCAGCCTGACCCTATCAGTCAGCTAACATTGCCCGTCAGTCGAGGAAGGCGATGGCTAGACATGTATGCGTAACACATGTCCTAACCATCTCAGTCGATGTAATTTCACAGTCTCGTCGATTGATTTCCCCGCCTTACCTAGCACTCGGTGCCTGACCTCAATATTGCTCACCTTATTATACCACTTCACGCGGGAGATAGAACGCAGGCACCTATGATCAAAGGCAGCTAGCCAGGCTTTTCATGTCTTCCACTCTCAATGGCCAGGTCTCACAGCCATAAAGGAGGACGGAGCGGACTGATGAGCAGTACACACGCCCTTTGGTCGATAGTCGGATATCACGTCTATGTCAGAGACAACGATAACAGTTCGTAGTCTAGAGATTGGATCTGTCTATGGCAAAGGAGGGATAAGTAATACTTCATCATATCACTTAAGGTACAGTTTTTTTACACTACTTAAATCAAAAGTCCAATAACTGTGAATTTGAATCATTGTCTCTTACACTGCTAAGTTATGGGTGAGCTTCTTCTCATTGCTGAGTGTCTTATTCCGAACTGGGATTTTTCCGCCTGAACATTTCACTGCAGATCAATAATATTTTTTTCAGTGATTTTATCGCCTACATGCTTGGTATATAAAGATATGTAGAAATCAAATTCGCGCCACTTCACAGTTTATTGCTCCATCAATGGGATATTTCAATGAAGCTGTAGATACCACCCCACTTGGTGATTACGGTTTTAGCTCTCAGTCTGTCATATCATTCAGATATATGTGTGGGAAGAAATATTTATATATATCAGATCTGTGATGTCGGTATTACCCGTTGCACTTCTAAGATCGGAATAATTTACTACTTTATGTTCCAAGTTAGAATTCGTCAGCCTTCAATCGATTATTTCTGTAATAGCTAGTCAAAAGGTGTTGTGCCCGTCCGTCTCTAAAAAATATTATAGCGGATATCCAATAAACAAGCGCCTAAATGTCCTTGAGATGTGTAACCAATCAGAAATGTTTGCTGATTTCATTTTGTGTGTATGTTTTGTTAAAATAATGTGTAAAAGTAAAGTTAATTTGAGAAATGTGTGTGTGTACCCTACTTTCAATATTATACATAATTAGTAGTGTAGATCTATTGAACAAAAAGGCTCATACAAACACTCAAGTATATTTATTATGCTGCACATATACGATTAGAGTGCGTGTTTTGTGCATTAAGTGGCGTTGAAAGAGAAGATTTGCTATTTTTTTCTTCTATTTAATGAGTTTTTTCTCTCTTACTATTACTACCAATTATTCTGTTTGATGTTTACCAAAGTTTTTGATTCTGTTAGTTTCATGCTTGATTTTTTTTCTTGTTGGACACTACTAGTTCAAAGTTTCCTGTCGATTACCTTCAACCATTTAATAATAAAAACAGTTCATTCTTGGTTACTTCACCATGTGGTGACAGAAACTTTATCATTGATGTTCGTTTTTATTAGCAAGATTTCATAGTGCAAAATAATTTGTTATTATTATATTATTATTGTTCTCTTTAATTCCTAGAGGAACATAGGGCTTCAGTCGTTCGGTTCTCTGCTAGAGTCTTCACCTGGCTCCAAGTCTGCCCACACGCTTTCATCTCCTCTTCACATGACCTCTCCAAGTCACCCTTGCACTGACGACCAACTCGCCGCTTCCCATTCAGTCGGGTTCCACTCGAGCGATGGCTTGTCTAGTGATGTCACTTGATGGATTGTTTCCTCAGAGTATGGCCATCCAATCCATCTCCATTTCTTTCTACCTATTTGTTTGACAATTGGTCCTGGTTGGTTTGCTCTTCAGAGATCTTTGCTACTGATCCTTTCTGGCCAGCCACCTGATCTTTAGTATCGAGCGAAGACAACTGTTGATGAAGGTCTGTAGTTTGTTTGAGATGCTCTTTATGACGCGCTGGCCAAGTCTCTGATCCGTATAGTGAGTAGCACTGACTTCACATTCGAGTTGAAAATCCGGATGTTATTTTTGATGCTGAGTGCTGTTGATCTCCACACAGACTTGAGAGTAATGAAAGCTTGCCTTGCTTTCCCGATTCCTGCTTTAATATCCTCATCAGTTCCATCAGCCTGTAGTTGAAACGATGCTTCCCAGATAGGTAGGTTAAAGAGGTTGTTTCTTTCAGGTTCCCTCTATTTATGCTGTTTGTTGTGTGTTGTTGTTGTTGCTGTTACTGTTGTTGGTGTTACTCAGAAATCTTCATCACCTCTGTTTTCTCTATGTTCACCTGAAGTCCTATCTTTGATACTTCTGCCAACTTGTTGCTTTTCGCTTGCATATCTTCCAGTTTGTGGGAAATCAGACATATATCATCGGTGAAGTCCAGATCCTCCAAGTTTTTTGTGTGATTCCATTTTATGCCTTTTTCCTCATTGCCCACTGTTTGTCGCATTATCCAGTCTACTGCAATCAGGAAAATCATTGGCGATAGTAAGCAGCCTTGTCTTACTCCTGTCCTCACTTCGAAGGATTCCGTGAGTTTCCGTAATATGAATTTCCGTATGCATGAAGATCAAGCTTCCAATAGAGAGCAATTAGTGTAAAGAACTTTTTTGACCAGAACATTTAGTGTAATATGAATGAAGAAATCATCAGTTTAGATTAAGAATCAATAAGAGAGAGAGAGTTTAGAGAAAAATAATCTGTGTACTTTATGGAGTTAAAATTTTAAACATACAAAATAAATTCAAGAATAACAATGAAACTTTTGTGCTAAGGATTTTAAAAAAAACATGTTAGCGTTTCACATCATTTCATTTTTTGTACATAAGTGTAAGTCATGGTTGAAACTAAGGTTGTTATTATTATTAGTGTTTCTGGTTTTGTTTGGAAGTTGTGTCACCGTCTTCGTATGCGTATTTCTTACATTTTTTGCTGTCTACAGGCTCTGCCTTTTTTTGGATAAGAAAAGTGGTGTAATGAACTCTATTGCATAGAATAAAGAATAAACCAATCACGTTGTGTATCAATTACCTTTTATTGATTTTTCTGTTTATCTAAACGAGAAAATGTGTATTTTCCATATTCATAAGTATTTGAATCTTGATTGGTTATTTATTCTTTAGTTAATATGAACAGAGGGTGTGTGTGTATATACTGCATGCCTATCTTGACACAATATGATTTTTAAATGGTTAGTTATTCTTGAATTTTATTCAGTAAGAGTAATATTATAAACAACAAACCAGTGGAATTATGGATACTTTCTGAAAGAAGATTTTGGAAACAGTTATAAAAATAAATAATTGTTAAAATTACTTCATAACAATATGTATTCTCTATGATTGGTTTGTAAGGATTAGATTTATTTTTACGAGTTGATCACGGATTGATATCAGGTAGAGAACCACTGAAAACTAGAGAGTACTGGACAGCTGTTTCATCCTAGTCTGGGACTCCTCAGCAGTACTCACCCACTACCCACTTGAAAATTGTTCTGATGCTCACTAGCGACTGGCCCTATTCAGGCAGCTAACCTGGGGCTCTAGTGGGAAACCGTGACCAGTAGGTTACAGCAGGTTGAAGATGAGGCAGTAACTCATCGAAGAAGACATTGCGAAATGGTCGCGCAATGTGGTGCGTGAATTTTCAGAAGTTAGAATTCAAGGACCATTGGATCGGGTCCCAGTGGCTCAATGGTCTACGAGCTAGCTCGCCTTGTAACCAGAAGGTCCTGAGCTCGAACCCTAGCGGTGGGTGCGTACTGAGGAAGAGTCCCAAACTGGGACGAAACAGCTGTCCAGTACTCCCAGGTTTTCCAGTGGTTCTACCAATTCGTGATTTAGTACTAAAAATAAAGACTATTGTCGCATTGGTCATACAATTAGATTTTAGTTTAAACACATCATTAATGTTATCTCGTGTGCTGGTTAAAGTGACAAGTAAAATGACTAATTTCCTTTCCTATTCACTTACTTACTCACTCACTCATTGTTGTTGTTGTTGTTTCAAAGTTAAAATAATTTTTTGATATCTCATTTGTCATTAATATTACTGTTGTTTAGCAACTAAAATAGCATTGTATACAAATCTATATGTGAAAGGTCAACATGAGGTCAAAATTAAATGACTCATGTGTGTTTATATTCGGAAAAAAATTTGGCGAATTAATCACAGTCTATTCGATTGGTTAATAGTGAATAAAAAGGAGCAAAATAAAAATGATAAGTAAGATGTCACCAATCAGCTAAATCCCTAAAAACCAACACTTGAATATTATTCTGATGCGCACTAGCTACTGGCCCTGGGGTTCTAGCGGGAAGTCATGACCAGTGGGGTACAGCAGGTCAGGTGTGAGGACAAATACTCGCCGTAGATGATGTTGGCTAGTGGTCGCGCTATATCGTGAATTGGCAGAAGTTGGAATTCATGGGCCAGTCATTGGATTGGGTTCCAGTGGCTTAATGGTCTACGAGCTCGCCTTGTAACCAGAAGGTCCTGGATTCGAACCCTGGTGGGTGCGTACTGATGAAGAGTCCCAAACTAGGACGAAACAGCTGTCCAGTACTCCTAGGTTTTCCAATGGTTCTCTAACCAATGTCAGCTCATGATGAAATCCTGTAACCAAGTAAGATGTCTGTTGAGTTTTAAACACAGTTCAGTGTTAACATTCATTACCAACAGCTTTCTCAAGAATTTATAATTTGTCATCAAATCAAGACCATATGATGATGATGATGGTGGTGGCGTTGATGATGACGACGAGATTGTTGACGTGTTATGCAATACAGTAAAAAATTACCTTCCAAGTGTTACTTTCATAAGGATTTGATTGGTTTCAAGTATGATCATGGATTGATATCATTTAGAAAATCATTGAAAACCGGCTATAACTGAACATCTTTTTCTCCCTAGTTTGGGACTTTTCTGCAGTATGCACCCATGACCCTATTGAGGATCTCGAAACTAGGACCTTCAGGTTGCGAGGTGAGATCGTTGATCATTCAGCCACTGTGACGGAATCGGCGAGTATTTGTCCTCACACCCGACCTGGTTGGACCCCACTGGTCACGACTTCTCACTAGTGTTGTAGGCAATTTCGTCCTGTAGTCAGTCACTAGTGAGCATCAGATAAATTTCTAAGTGTTAGTTTGCAGGGGGTTTGATTGGTTTCAAGTTTGATTAAGGATTGATATCGATTAGAGAACTTCTGAAGGCCAAGTAGTCCTGGACAGCTTATTTACGTGTAACAAGCTGAAATCGAAAAAAATGTTGTGTATCTGGGAGAATGGAATTGACTAGATAGAATTGGTTAGAAATGTATACATTTATTGGAATTTTTAAGTCGAATGTATAAACTGTCTAACGAAGATTTTATTGTGTGACGTGTGCTACTGACAAGATTTATCAGTAGTATATGAAGAGACATTCATCGGCACAAAAATATCAAATAGCGGAGAGATAGATTTATCGTCAAAGAGTGGAAATAAACCAGTATTGTGGCGAAACATGGGAGAGGTGAAAAGGAAGACAAAGAAACACAATACGGAAGGGCATAAGTAGCACAACACAAAAGATTTGTGCAAATGACGATTTTAATATAATGTATACATAATTTTCTCTTATACTTATATCAAATTGCAAATAAACATTCCATTACCAACTACTCTTGTGTTCTACCGTTACAATTGTAGTAGGGTTATGGAAAAAGTTTCTAAGATGGTGAATCACAATCAAGACAAAACTACTTCTGTAAACTGTATCCATAAGTATCATTCTACCTTGTACCTTTTTTATAGAGGTTTGTATCATTAAATTATAATTTTTTTTTATTCTTTCCATCTAACTAGTCACCGAAATCATATAACTGTGCCAAATATATGAATGATGAAAATTTCAAAGAAGCAGACGACAACAGCTCAGAATTTTCCACTAGAAAGTCATCGTCGATAACAGGAACTCTTAAATTTAATATTTCTCCTAATCATACTGTTGAATTTTTGGTTAGCGCTAATCTACTGGCTGTGAAACAGTGCATTTCCCTTTTGGATAACAACAATTCAGCTCAATTCAATGGTGTTGTGCCATTGTCAACATTGGATAAAATTAATGTGTATAAAACACGAAAAGACTATTTAACTGAAATCAATGGTGTTTCTTCATCATTACCATTCACTTGTTTACCGTCTTATCATCGATCTGTTGATTCTGTACTAGGTGAGTTTATGTTTGTTTTAGCCATCAGTTAAAATGTGTTACAACACTCCGTGATGAGTGAAGGCAATAGTTATTTCTATTTTTTTAAAAACTACTGAGAACAGCAACAACAGCAGCAACAACCAGAAATGGTTTATTCATCAGTGCGTCGGTGGCACAGTGGTTAGGACTCTCGCCGACCATGCACATGGTCCAGGGTTCGATCCCCTGCCGACGCACACCTGATATCAATGGTCGGCCTGCAAACTTGGGCTACCGATATCAAATGCTGAAAATTCCATACTTGTACCTAAAATACGGTGTGGAATCAAGCTGTAATAAAAAAAAAAGAATGGACAAACTTGATTGAAAGACTGTAATATTATTGGGGGGGGGGGACACCAACATTCAAACTAGCGATGAAATGAAGTTGATGTGTCGAATGCAGCTTAATCAACGGAGTTGTGAGATTTACAAATTAGTTTATTTCTGTTTTTTTTTTTTGTAAACACTACGCTAAATAGTTCAATAATTGCGTAATTCATGTTGACCTTTTTCTTTAAATGAAAGACTTTTTTTTGTAATCAATAAGTTTATCTTCGAAACTATCTTATGACAACTGGTGACTTCATTTCAAAAGATGTCAAAATAATATATATATATATATATATATATAATGTGAAAAGTTATACCAATAAGTTATTGAGTATCACTTACTCCAACTAACAACTTTTACCAATTATAGACAAATGATTCATTGGTTAAGTGTTTGTTTCTTAAATGGTGAGGCCAATTAGGAGTCTCCAATGTAAAGTCAGTGCTACTCACTATACGGATCAGAGACTTGCACTGCGCGTCATAAAGAGCATCTCAAACAAACTACAGACCTTCATTAACAGCTGTCTTCGCTCAATATTGCTCAAGATCAGATGGCCGGCCAGAAAAGATCAGCAACAGAGATCTCTGGCAATGAGCGAACCAACCAACCAGGAACCGATTGTGAAACAAATAGGCAGGAAGAAATGGAGATGGATTGGCTGGCCATACTCTGAGGAAACAATCCATCAAGTGACATCACTAGACAAGCCATTGCTCGAGTGGAACCCGAAAGGGAAGCGGCGAGTTGGTCGTCAGTGCAAGGGTGAGGTGACTTGGAGGAGGTCATGTGAAGAGGAGATGAAAACGTGTGGGCAGACTTGGAGCCAGGTGAAGACTCTAGCAGAGAACCGAACGCAATGGAGACGCACGGCTGAAGCCCTATGTTCCTCTAGGAATTAAAGGAAACAATAATAATAATAAGGAGTCTGAACGATAGTGTCGCATCCCACTATGTTTACCAATTTATATGCATGTATGGTCACACGTACATGGGGAGGATCCATTGATCTCCTCAGGTCGGGACCACACAACACACTCCTAAATACTTGCAAAAAATGAATCAAATAACCTAATTCAGTTGACCCTCCAAACAGATACCCAACGTCATCTATCACAAAGAACATTATACAGACGAGTCATAAAGTCGATTTCAGTAGTGTCTTCAAAGCCTATATTACCAAAGGGTTTGGGTCATATATTTAAATTCACTGAAGTCCCTAGCCAATTAAAGGGTTTAAAGCTGTTTCATGTGCTCAAAAATTATTTGTTATTACTTTGATCCTGACTTTGTAATCCAATTTTAAATCAAAGGTTTATGTTATGCGGTAATATTTTCACCCCCTTTTATTCCACGCCTTCCTCTTCCTACTTTTTATCTGTGGTCTTGACTCGTAGACATTTCGATCCAATTTTGACCCTTTGTGCTGTGGTAGCTTTTTTTTGATTACAGCTTGATTCCACACTGTATTTTCGGTACAAGTATGGAATTTTCAGCATGTGATATCGGTAGCCCAAATTTTGCAGGCTGACCATAGATATCAGGTGTGCGTCGGCAGGGGATCGAACCCCGGACTATGCGCATGGTCGGTGAGAGTCCTAACCACTGTACCACCGACGCACAAAGCCAGCTCCTCGACCGGGAATCGAACCCGGGCCTTCCACGTGACAGGCGGATATACTTAGCACTATACATCACTATATATATATATATATATATATATATATATATATATATGGCAAGTATGTGTGTGATGAGAATGTCCGGAATGTGTGGCTCAAAAGCCTTACATGTTTCAGATAAATTATGTCTTATTGTTTTGTCGATATTTCAGTAAAGAGTATTGTTTATCAACAATTAAATGAAACGTTATACATTCGATTAGTAAACAAAATTTCAATTCAACTGACAACTTTTTGCATAGTTAAGTATTTCGTGCTTTGTAGTTTCTCTTCGATGGTAGCAGTACTACTACATTTCCTTTCCTTTTATATAATAATTTTTAATTAATTAGCATTGTTAGTTGTTGTCAGTTTTTTTACTGAATGAACTTCACTGATTGGTTCCTGTTGGGATATACTATTCCAAAACTTATTTCTTGAAATTGCATTGAGCCTTGTTTAGCACCTAAGACCGACAGAATATCGATTACTGCTACCTGATGATTGCGTCGGTAGTTCAGTGGTAGGATACTTGCCAACCACGCAGATGGTCCAGCATTCGGTTCCCGACCGATGCACTCCTAAACCTTGCCTAGAATTTTTTTTGACTACAACTTGATTACACACCGTATTTTTGGTACAAGTATGTAATTTTCAACATGTGATATCGGTAGCCCAAATTTTGTAGACCGACCATTGATATCAGGTGTGCATCGGCAGGAGATCGAACCCCGGACCATGTACATGGTCGGCGAGCGTCCTAACCGCTATACCACCGACGCACACAAACATGATCAGGGCGAGGCGCATGCAAATAACACACAGCCTTCTTCATACTTTGCACACAACCATTAGGTCACGTACTATCCCATCGCCCTTGGCAGATCTGGCAACAAAAGTCACGAGAACACCATCAGAGCATATGACAGGTTAGATACCCCGGTTAAATCTAGTAATATATCATTATTCTAATATCTATATGTAGTGTTGATTATGAAAATATCCGTTGTTACACTTAGGAATTATAGAATGACTTCTTTTACACTTGTGTAATCAATTATTAGTCAATTTTTTTCCTTCTGCAACATATAGGGGAGGGAGAATTATGTTCCCTGGGGGGATTTTATCCATAAATTAATGTCAAAGTGAAATATTTTCAAACTATTAAATCATCTTCTGCATCTTCATCAAATAGTTTGTACAAAATTTGTTTGTAAAACTGATATATGGATTGTCGAACAGCATTTTTAGTTCTGAAGATTTGCATTTAGTTTGCTAATTATATATATAGTGGCTAACACCATTCTATTTTATAATTTTTAAATGTTACGTAGAGACTATCTGTAGTAATTCATAGACCTAGATTATAGGTTTACAGAAGTCTGAACAAACCTTTTCTGTACACAGAAATTAGACGAATCACTAGTTCCTCCGTCATACAAAAGTGGCGAAACCTAACATTTTTTTGTACTATTCGGTTTCACCTTTTAGATAAGTTTAAAAGACGACTCTGGTGGAGCTGTGTGGTCTGAGTTGATTAGGTGCTCGAGGATCGAGCTAGTAGTTGTTTCATTATTTATATTTACCGAACATACATGTATCATACCTTTAGGATATGTGACAATAATGCTGACATGGAAATGGTAGGTAGTAAAGGAATTCAGTAGTTACCACGATTCTGTCAAATCCATGAAGGAATCAGAGATGAACTCTGAAGTTCATTTTTTGGATGATCTTTAAAAAATGAGACATGATAATTCTCTTAAATCTACAGAAAACCAAGATGGAGTGATCAATACACGGATTTTCATAGTTAGGCCCCTTTGTGAAGAAAAAGAGACCTGATCACAGTCCTTACCTTCGAGAATGAGGATATACACTAGTGATACAATCAAAGATGAACTGGAGAGACTCAGATAAGTCCTCATGGATATACTACAAGATCCATCGAGAAAAGCATAAAAGTAAAGCAGAAGCCTCAAGGAATCTCCTTGGTGCCGAAAAATGGCTACTTATGACTTTTGGATTTTAAGGGGGTACTGCAGCTGAGACTCTGAAGAACCGCTTATCCAGGTCTTTGAGAAAAACTTTCTTTTCAGTTAAGCTATGCATCAATTTCTAAAGTCGGCAAATGATTAATGGCTTATAGAGGACATACTACCGCTTTAGGCCACTTCAATGTGTGTTTTTAAATTCACTTGCTTCTCTGGAGCTGGCTATATTGGCCACACAAAGGGGTATACTTTCCAAACGCATCTAGGAACATTATTCGGTAGGGTTATCAACAGGACAATACCATACAATTATTAGTTCAACTCACATCAGTCATTAGCAAGTTAAATATTTTATCCTTGAGGAAATTCATGTATTTCATGGGATTCGAATTTGTGTCAGCCGATAAAATTTACCACTAAGCCAATGAGGCTTTAATTAATCCCTTATAGGAGTTCATAATGTAACACCAGAAGGCAAGACACGGAAGCAAAGGTATATTTTTCACTAATCAAACAGCTGTTTATATATATACGGTTTATATACGTTAACCAATCACTGAGCGTGTAATTTTGGCTTACATTAAACGACATGAAATAGAATGTTCAAATATAGATATAGTATTCTGTTGCTAACACAGTATTGAACTGTGGGAATATGTGAGAATAATATTCCGTTGGAACACATTGTCTGCATCACACCACCACAATAATGTGAAAGAATCAATCACTGATGAAGTGGTCTTACATACTGACCACTGTAATAGTTACCTTTCAATGATTAACTTGTAAACAAGTTTCTGTTAAATAACAAGGAGGATCTCTGTAGGACTCATTTTTACTAAGAAATTAGTTCTGAAGGTGTTAAATCAAGCTTAATGGTAAAACATACACAATCGAATGTCCAAGATGGTGGTGTTAGTGGCGGTGGTGGGTGTGTGGGGGGAACTAACGGTTTACATGTAAAAGTATTAATTACACTCGATTTATTAAAAGTATCTGTTATTTTAATTCAGCAAGTGCGTCGGTGGTATAGCGGTTTGGACGCTCGCCGACCATGTACATGATGGTCCGGGGTTCGATCCCTGGCCGACGCACTCCTTTACCTCGCTAAGCCAGAAATAATTCTGGTGATGAGGGAAGGTTGGGCATGAGGCTGTCAACCCCATCCTGTAAAGTTGAACACTGCTACAGAAACTTCAAGCCACTAGCTTGAAGCCCTATGTTCCACTGGGGAACGTGAAGGGAAAAAAGTCATTACCAAATATAGAACTAATGATAAGCTAAATATAGTCATTATCCTTTCTTTTTCATGTTCTATTTTTATTTTTGTACTTTCTGTTTACACTAGTTTCTTCTACATCTTCAGTAATAAATGCAAACAAAGAGAAACAAGTGAATTACAATACTAATAATACTAATCATATAACATCTAATTATCAGAATGATTATTCATTTCTATCGCATAATGTGATGAATCTGTCATCGAATCCACTACTACTCGAGGAATTTCGCGATCGTAGTCAAGATGAATTACAGGCTGCACGAACAATTCTATCATTAGCTCATGGAGCTACTGATATCATTTTTAATATGGGACAAATTACCATGGATATAGACAATAATAATGCGTCAATTGCCAATAATAATAATAATAATAACGACAATTTGTGTGAATTAAACACATACAACACTGATGTTGTTACTAATGTAACTGAATCTAGAATTTCAGGTGAGTTTATAATAGATAAAATCATTTATATATATCTATATTTTGTTCTAAAAGTCTATTTCATTAGCACTCTTATTATTTTTTCTTAAAAAGAAAAAATAACTCACATAAATCAAAGCATGTTTTGACATGAATTACTAAACTTTATAAAAAAAGTGCAACACACTAAATGAGGTAGTTTTTCAAGATTTTAGATTGATTTAAATGTTTAATGTTGTGAGTTGAAAAGATGGGGTGACTGATTGTGTGTGTGTGTAGGTGTTATATTGTGGTATTTCACCAGACCGATATTACATTTGAATCGTTCACTTTAAATAGATTGAAATATCTTTTGATGCCGTAACTTTCATCACTCATCACTACATCAATAATAGTGCGCCAGCTCGAAGACTACCACAGATAGTCTTACCATCAACTGACAACTTACTCTCTCTTCTTCCCAATTCAGTATGATTACGATTAAAGTGAGGAGACCTACACCTAGGCAGCTAGTGTAATGATGAATGGACAATAAGATATGACATGTGGCATGGCGACCTGATGAACAGTTGGTCCTCGTAGGTCCTCAGTTAGTCGAGCGCCGAACTATAATAGTTCCAATGGTTGTTAGTTCGGATCCTGACGTGGTCTAGATTTTCAATTCACCTTCAGTCATCCACCATACATAGTGAAGTCTGTTCAAACCAATTGAATGACTGTCTGGTATTTAAATTATCCTAATATATGACTAATATTCTTTTCTGATGTATCAGGCGAACAAAACGGATTATGATATATGTGAATAATGAATGAATTTGAAACTTGCCTCATTAACACTCAGTCACTTATTTTCATTCTGTAAGCAGTATGATTTAGATTGGAATGGGAAAAAAATCTAGCTGAACAGTTTGTTGTCTAGGTCATCGAACTCTCAATGGTTGAAATGATCCGGTTGGAATCCATATCCTCTAGCTTATTTGTTTAAGTCACGAACCGGTAATCTGGTGGCTTCTATTTCTATTCCTGTTGAAACACAGATTTTCATTGTCAGCATCAGTTAACAACTTTTTTTTCAAAAACCAATAAGAATAAAAAGGTAACATGAAAAGCCTATGAATTTCTTTAGACTTCATCTACTTTAAGTAGACAAGAATGACTTTGAAATGTAGAAATTATATTTATCTATTGATGTGTAACTAAAGCTTAAGGATTATTAGTGTAAAGAATGATAAAGAGGCTAAAGAAGTTTGGATGCTGAAGGTATATCAAAAAAGTAAAAGAGATGATATAGCGATATATAAACAATGAGTATATAATTAATAAAAACTTATGTTGGTATCTTTCGAAAGTTATTTGGGAGACAGTGTGTGCGATGTTCCATCCCGAATGTACTTTACATCTAATAATAATCTCAGACTAAGATACAAGTGTTGGTTTGTGGGGATTTGATTGGTTACAGGATTTCATCATGAATTGACATCGGTCGGATAAAACCTGGGAGCACTGGACAACTGTTTCGTCCTAGTTTGTGACTCTTCATCAGTACGCACTCACCTCCAGAGTTCGAACCAAGGTCCTTCCGGTTACAAGGTGAGCTCGCATACCATTAGGCCGCTGGGACCCGATCCAGTGACCGATGATATTGGCTAGTGGTCGTGCTACATCGTGAATTGACAGAAGTTAGAATTCACCAGCCATTGTTTAGGGTCCCAGTAGCTTAATGGTCTATGAGCTCACCTTGTAACCGGAAGGTCCTGGGTTCGAACCCTGGCGGTGGGTGCATACTGATGAATAGCTCCGGACTAGGGCGAAACAGCTGTTCAACACTCCCAGGTTTCCCAATGGATCTCTAACCGATGTCACTTCATGATTAAATCCTGTATTTTCAAAACATTACGTCATTTTATGCATTGAAGTCAATCAAGTCCTTATAAATTGCAAGCGTAAATATCGCGTTTTGTTTTGCATTGACACGTTATTCAGTAGATTACCATATATGATATAAACAACTTAATGTTTGTCTGTTTGTTTATAGACACGAAACCATAATCACAGACATTCAATTAACCGACAAAAAAAAGAAACATTTGCTTTGTTTTCATATTTTTTAACTGAAAAAAAAATTAGTGCTGATAACACAGGCATTTGATGTGACATTCAGAGGATGTTATTTTCGTTTTGCTATTTTAAGTTAAAGTATTTTTGATAATTAAATCTTTTTTTTTCGCAACTAGCTAATATTAGTATTTTATGTTTCGCCTGTTCAGATAATGATTATCAATAGTTCTATTGTAGATATAATAAGATCAATAATTTACTCCATTCTAAACTAACCAATTTACTTGTCTAGTAACTAGCATTAATTTAGGTCAGCACCTACGCTTTCTTTTTATATATCTGTACAGTATAGCCAATCAGATTTAGGCAAATTAGCTGAAATCTTAACCAATTGCTAGCCTTATTTTCATTAAAAATTTTCAATCGAGTACATTCTAATTTTTGATGTAACGACTGACTATGGTGAGGTAACAACTCCGGAAATGAAATGACAAGGTCTTAAAATTCTTTCAGATAACAACTGAACACTTGTTGTGTTTTTTTTTAAAATTTAAATGCAATTAGATACTTAGTTGACTGGTTTGGTGAAACTTTCATCTGATTTTTTAAAAATTCGACTTTTTGGTGTGAATTCTTGTTATCTGAATCGTGATGTGTTGTACTGGGTTGTTCTTGTATAATTAATCGATTTGCTTGATCCAATTTTATCAGGCTACTAAGTGTTAGATATTCCAAGGAATAATTCATAACTGAATTCGTGTGTGTGTGTAGTGAGGTGATTATACTGCTTGCTTGGCAGTGAAGACTATCTACCACATTAATGTTATGAAATAAAACATTAATACCTACTATATTCAAGTAGAATACACTCATCTTTTTGACGAACTTAAACTTTAGACACTGGACAGGCGTGAATGCATCGATCACCGTGGTACACTCAGTCAGAGCAAGACAGTGAAACCAAGTAAATAGCATTGTATTAATGGAGAAAAAATACTGAGTGAAGTGTTATGGATATTCAACAGGGTTATGTTAGGGAAATATTAAGCTTAGGTCTAGGCTAGGCACAGGTTTGAGTCAGGTTAACTTAATTAGGAAGATATTAGGGTTAGGGTTGAGTTAGAGGGTTCTAGATTTACCTTCCAGCCCTATGGCTCTTATAAATGTTGAAAGTCTAACTTCTCCATCTTTTCTCCTAATATAAACTGGTATGAAGGTTAGTGACCTTCGGATAGAATTCCTACACTATATCATTGTGTAAACCGTAGCATATTCAATGAGATAAAAGCTAAAACCATAAAAAGAACTACAAATAATAATAGGAATTATATATCTGCATATGTATAATTGACATTACGTAAACTACTTGGTAGGAAAAATGTCCGTAAAAATGACCAAATTTTATGGATAAGTAAATTTTCATCTTTATTCAAAAGTATGCACCTTCTGTGTTCAGTCAACCAATTCATTGTTGCTCTCATATGAAATATTGTGATATGAACAATTAAATGACTTTTTTTAAGAAAAAAAACGTGTATTCAAGATGCTCACTCGAAGGCGAAATACTGGACATCACAAGTCACTTGAATATTCCCAGTGGGGAGTTTTTGCTAGACAAATTCTTATCAGACTTTGTCTAGTAAAACCCAACCTGTGTCTTATTCAAATTGATGTTTGTTCTTGTTTGTCTTTTTCTAAAACAATTCCCCCTCCCCCCCAAAAAATAAACAAAATAAAAACTAAAATGATATAAATCAAGTAGAAAAAAATCTCAGCAATTTGCTTCAGAGAAAGAAGTTTTTCTGTCACACTTAGCAACGAAATATGCATTAATTCGATCAATTATTGAAATGATTCTCAAAATATGATTATTATTATATTATTGTTCCCTTGGGTTCCTAGTGGAACATAGGGCTTCAACTACACGTCTCCACTTGCTTCTGTCTTCTGCTGTACTTTTCACCTGCGTCCATGTTAATCCATACTGTTTCAATTCCTCTTCACACGATCGCCTCCATGTCACCCTTGGACGTCCCACTCACCGCTTCCCTTTCGGGTCCCACTCGAGGGCCTGACGCAAAATATGTTTACTCTTATTCACATCAGCTGAACTATTCGTTTACTTTTATATAAAATGTACAAATTATTATTATTGTAATAAGCATAATTACACAATTAATATTCATTCATTTATCGTGAATTTAGGTGATGAAGTTGCTGGAAATTCTCAATGGGCGTCGAAACACACAACCGATAGTTTTCAGCAAGGGAATGAATTAAACAGCAAGTCAACTGCGATAATACCATCTATTATCCCTGGTTCAATACAATCAAATAGTCAGTCAAATATGGTGTTAGAAAATAATGTATCTCAGGCGACAATTTTGCATGATTCAGATAAGTGTATTTCACAGGCGATCAATACTGCTAGTGCTACTACTACTATTATACCTGCCATTCAAACTACTACGGATTATTTGATGACCAGCACAGCAGCTGTTACGATGCTAACAACGACAACAACTGCTACTACTACTACTACTACTAACACCACTTCTCAGTCTTCAAAGTCTGTTTCAGATACATGGCATCCAATTTCTAGTTCACAGAATAATATCAGCAGTAATAATAATCATAATAACAGTAGTGCAGTACACAGAAAAATTCGTCCACCACCTAAGAAACGTTTGTCAACAAATTATTCCCGATCAAATTCTTCTCGTTCATTGGCAGACAGTAATAACACACCAACAAGTAAACAAAAATTCTTTTTTTCCCATTCTTTTCACAGTAATTTCCATGACATTAAGAGAAAGAAGTTAAACATGTAAAATGGGGATGAGTTAATTTTTTGTTTGTTGTTGTTCGTTTGTTTGTTTTCAGTTTTCTGTTGCAAACATCAGAGAATCAATAGTTGGCTCAAATGAATAGTGAATAGATAGATATAAATGATATTTAAAACAGTTGAAAGATAATGTAACGCGTATAAGGATGCCGACGCATAGAATGAAGACACTGAACTGAATAGGCTCCCATGGATTCACTAGTGCAATTATCAGATAGTTAGGATTTTTTAAAATTGCGTTTGAAACCAGACTAAAAATTGAAAAAAAACGAACTTTACTTCGATAGTTTGGTTTGTAAGGGTTAGTTATGTCTTTACGAGTTGATCACGGATTGATATCAGTCAGAGAACCATTGAAAACCAGCAAGGAGTACTGGACAGCTGTTTCATTCTAGTTTGGGAATCATCGGGAGTACGCACCCACCGACAGGGTTCGAACCCAGTACCTTCCGGTTCCAAGGCGAGCTCGTATACCATTCATCCACTTTATTTCATTATTTCGGTCCATTGGTTTTGTGGTGCTATACTACAACATCTACTTCTTTATGCTGTTTCACCTTGTCTTGTATTTAATGAGGAAATATAGTAACTGGAACAGTTACACAATGATATCCCAGTTCATATGTTGACAGTGTATGTTTTTAGTTTCTGTCTTCAAATTCTTCTAGCTTTTAAGTGTCAGAGAAAACAAGAGTAAACACATGCATAAAATGAATATGTAAAAGAATAAATGCAAAATAAAAACAAGAAGTTGAAAAAAATTCAAACTGTCTAGAAAATTTCTCATGGTTCATGAAAGAAAAGTGAATGTTTGACTCAGTGGTACAGGCACTCGACTCGGTCGTCGTCGGTCGGTTTCGACATAGAACTTGCACATATGTGCGCAGTTCAAGTCGCACTCCACTCCCAACTAGTGAGTTACAGGTTTGAATCCCGCTGCACCTACCGAGATTTAGGCAGCCAGATAGTATCACTAGCCCTCTCTCACACACACACACACAACAGGTGTAGCTCATTGCCTCAACTGCATGGAATTCGGAACAGTTGTTAAGTAACATTCCATTTCATTTTCTTCATGAAAAACAATAACTTTTTACTGACAACACTATTATTGATTCATATTTGTATGGTGTATAATACTTTTCTGTACTAGAGATTTCATTCAATACATAGAATTGCATTTCTTACATAGAACTTGGCTGATTAGTAGAGATGATTTTGTTGACCTCGCTTAACCACTGTGGATAAGTTGTTCACATTCAACTTCTAATTCAGTGAAGTAAAGCAGTTATTACATATTTAAAAATTAAGACTTTAAAATAATATGGTTTTTTTTATTGGATGGAGGATTTCATCATGAGCTGACATCATTCAGAGAACCATTGGAAAACCTGGGAGCATTGAACAGCTGTTTCGTCAGCCTAGTTTGGGACTCTTCATCAGTACGCATTCACCTCCAGAGTTCGAACCCAGGACCTTCTGGTTACAAGGCGAGCTCGTAGACCATTGAGCCATTGGGATCCGATCCAATGGCTGGTGAATTCTAAATTCTGGCAATTCACAACATAGCACGACCATTTCGCAGTATCTTCTTCGATGAGTTACTACCTAATCTTCAACCTGCTGTACCCTTCTGGTCATGGCTTCCCACTAGAACCCCAGGTCACTGCCTGAATAGGGCCAGTCGCTAGTGAGCATCAGCATCAACATCACTGAACAACTGTGAGGCGACTGTTCAGCAATGAGGACCCGCCGCCGTCCCATGAAGAATCGAACCTAAGACTTTCAAGTTATGAAGCGTACCCGTTGCCCATTGATCTACCGCGTTGAAATCCAATCACCCGTAGATTATTACTTTTATCAATTCACGACAAGGTGCTACCGCCATCAAATCCTTTTTACTAGATTAAAGTAATGCAAGGCGTTTAAGTGATGAATGAATTTAAAAGAAAGATAATGTGTATAAGTGTTGCATTTTCCACTAACTAAGTCTATTGTTGTCTTTTTTCAGTGTTAACTCTATGGTAAAAAGCAAATTATTGTTTGTCTTCTACATTTTAGAATCTCAGGACAATGCTAATCAAATAAAATCTTCATTTTCCTCTTCTACTACTGTATGTGAGCCATTAGTAGTTGCTAATCAACCGATCAAACCAATAATCAGTGTTTCTGCAATTTCTTCATATGCTTCATCAACTGATCACATTGATACGTTGTCTACTTTCTCGTATTCTTCTTGTACTTCTTCTACTTCAGGTGTAGGATTAGTCTCTGCACCTATACAATTAACTAATGTGGTTTATGGTAATCCTAATCTTATTCCATCACACACTACATCGCTAACACCGTTTATTCCTAATCAAGATCTTACAACACATCCACCTAATCCAATGAATGCCTTCACAATGGTTTTTCCTACACCAAGACCAATTACACCGACACCACAAACAATAAATGGAACTCAACCAAGTTTTTTCATATTACCTCAATTAATGGTTTTGCCTAGATTTGTTGGCTCATATATACCAATGATATCTGCACCTGAACCTTATCCATCTATAATTAATCCTGTACACAGTTCAAGTTTAACTGAAACACGATCGTCTACTTTTATGACAAGTTCACTTGTAACACCTATTCCAACAGTTCAACCAGACTATTCAACAAATCAACCAGTTCGTACAATTATTCTACAACCGCCTCCACAACCATCATTACCACTGACTCAACCAATGTCGATGATTCTTGGCAGTGAAACAGTTACAACACAGACTTCTTCAGACGACAGTCATTTAAAACCAATTAATCATAATCTAAACAGTGATGAAATAAAGGAATTAAACACCTCAGATTCTAATAATGTGATAGTATCACAGCAATCCGTAAGTGGATTTTATAAAAATACAATTTTTTTTCCTTGTCTGATGATTAGATGCTAATACCGATTAACTGAATCGGATTACAGTTAGGCAGATAGATAATTTCTACTATGACTGTGAAGCATTGATTCAGCCATTTAACCTCCTACTAAGAATGATTTTAAGAGTGGTTCAACTACTTTTAATACTGTAGTGTGTGTGTGTTGTGTTCTCGAACATAGCACATGCATAATCAGTCAAGTGCTTTTGTTGTATTTTTTGGCTTATCTGTCTTAGAAGTCACTGGTTTTAAAGCCAGCAATTACGGCAATCCAGAAGGTCTTTAAATGTTAATATGAACCATGTAACTAGGTGTAGACTTCCTGGCTAGAGTTTTTGGCATTGCGATAGTCAAAAGCTGAACAGTGTTGGTCACATGTCTAAAAATCGTTCACGGCGGCAGAGATCTATTCACCTAGAGTCTAAAAATCCTCACTAGTCTTCATTTAATTACCTTATATCCCGTGCGTCGGTGGCACAGTGGTTAGGACTGTCGCCGACCATGCACATGGTCCGGGGTTCGAAACCCTGCCGACGCACACCCGATATCTATGGTCGGCCTGCAAAATTTGGGCTACCGATATCCATGCTGAGAATTCCATACTTGTACTTAAAATACGGTGTGGCATTAAGCTGTAATCAAAATAAAAATAAATAAAAAAATAATACATCTTCATCCATTGTAGTTTCACCTCATTTCTTTTCCTTACTTTAGTGTGTGCGTCTTCGAAATGTAATATTTTGAACTAATTCTCCCCTGTGCAAAGTACTGTGTTAATGAGTCAATTAAATTTCATCCTAGTTATTACACTTACCATAATCTAAGTCAATTTTTGATATTTAATTAGTCCCAATGATTTTAAATAAGTTCCCCAGGATTTCTTACTCACTATGATAAAATTTTTAAAATCTTAAGTTACACGTTTTTCATGCAAACTGATGCAGACGTAATTTCAAAATAAAGTTACTTCTGAAAATATTGTCTAGAAGGACAATGAAGGCTTTTCAATTAGACCATCTAGATCAGAGAACACAGCAACACTCAAAAGTAATTCAACTGAGCCACAAAACTTCTTTATCATTTCACTGCCCCCGCAGTTCCATCTTAGAACATCTGATAGAATCCGAACACCAAGCTACACCTCAAACAAACTTCAAAGTCGTCTACAGAGTAAGAAGTAATCTTCCTAAAAGTGTACGAATCAGACTTCTTCAAACTGCAGAAGCAATGGCGATTCACTTGCTAAATCCTGAACTCTGCATACAGAAGAAGTTCGTTCAATCACTACACTTGCAATGGACGTAATCTATCTTATTAGCCGACAAGTAAATTCTACCTAATCTTTTCTTCTGTCTCTTCATTAGTATTATTTGTCTTCTCAATTGTAATATTTTACATTTTCAACTTTCTTGTTCTCTACCCCCACCCGATTCAATTTCTACACCTCACTGCCACTGTTACTGACTTGAACAACGCTCAATTTCTAGTCATTTATGTTACGTCATCCAACTTATTTGCTCAATTTTTCTAATTAAATGACATTATACTACCCACTTCTACTTAGTCTCTACCTGTAATTACCTATATTGCTACCCTGACCTAAGTTGAAACATTTTAGTCAGTTATATTACGTCATCTAGCTTACTAACTCAATCTTACTTTAGTTGCTGTCTGATTAACTTTGTTTCTATATTACATCATTCTTGTATTACCTGATCAATTATCTAAACTTGACAAACCTCATGTACACACACATAATTATATATAAATGCGATTGTATAGCTATGTGAATGAATTCGCCGAAAAGAGTCTCTTCGCTGAACGTCTTCTCTTTTTCAAACATATAACTGTTAGAGGAGATCCTTAAATATCGCTGACAAGTAGTCTACATTCAGTTTTAGGACTTTTAGTGCTTGCTCTTAAACCATAAAAGCAATAATTCCTAATTGTTTTTATTGAATTGATTTATTCGAACAGATTACTTACATTTCAAATATTAAACGTAATGAAATATAAGAAAAAAAACAGTTCAGCGAAGAGTTTCTTTTCGGCGAATTCATTCATTTAGCTGTACAATCGCATTTATATTTAATAATTTGTGTGTGTGTGTATGTGTGCGTACATTAGGATTGTCAAACAAAATTAAAAATTAGTTAGGGTTATTGTTTACGTCATCAAAATGTTTCAAAAATGTGATGAATAATCAAATTGTAACTAGGGGGTGAAGATTGATAAGTATTGAAAAGGGTTGCGTAATATCAAATAGGATGTTAATGGAAGAGCATGGAGACACGTGTCCAAAATAAATTACGTAATAGGTAGAAAGGGTAAATAAAGGGTTAGTTAAGAAAAAGATGTTATTAAAATGTTGTACAAAAATTCGAAAAAGTATTTATTAACAAAATAGTAGAACTTGGAATTATACTCAAGGTAGGAAGAGGAGGGGGTGGAGAAGTTTCTTCTGTTTACATAAATCAGGGTTTTCTAACCGGATTTCTATGAAATTGCTATTGCAATGAAATATCTTGTAACAGATATAAGTACATTTTGAAGTCAAACAGATGGGTACGACACCTCATTTCGTATACCAAAGTTAGCCTATGCATTAAAGAATTAACACTTTGTCTTATGGATGAACTCCAACAGTTTTGTTACTTTTTGTCTCGACCGGGTGGCTACTACTGTGGTGGTGTGATACAGACAATGTGTGCCAACGGAATATTATTCTCGCATATTCTCACAGTTCAATACTGCGTTAGCAACAGAATACTATATGTATATTTGAACATTCTATTTCATGTCGTTTAATGTAAGCCAAAATCACACGCTCAGTGATTGGTTAAAGAATATATATATATATATATATATCGTTTTTTTTCCTTCACGTTCCCCAGTGGAGCATAGGGCTTCAAGCTAGTGGCTTGAAGTTTCTGTAGCAGTGTTTATTTTACAGGATGGGGTTGCTAGCCTCATGCCCAACCTTTCCTCTTCACCAGCATTATTTCTGGCTTAACGAGGTAAAGGAGTGCATCGGCCGGGAATCGAACTCCGGACCATGTGCATGGTCGGCGAGCGTCCTAACCGCTATGCCTTCTCGACATTTCAGTTCGATTTTATCCCTAACAGAGGTAAACAAAAAAAACTATGGACTACTCGATATTTATGTTTAAACTCATTTCAGTTGTTACAACGTCACAGCAACTAACTCAGAGGGAGAGAACAAGGCTACTCTTACTCTATTGTTCTACTATTGAATAGTAATTCATTTTACAAAATAAATAAAATATCTGTAGCTTTAAAAGTATGTTAACCGACCTGATCAGATTTAACAACGAATAAGAACGAACGATATATATTGTGAAGTCAAGGTTACTAATTTTTAATTGGATGATATTTTCGTCTGCATCATATATATATGGAGAATATGACTCAAAGCGTATAGTGTACAAATTAGTTTATTCTACGACAGTTTACGTAACTATTCCTATTTTCATCATCTAAACATAATTTCTGTCAGCAGATGTGAAAAGATGAAATCAGCAAAAGTGTTAAAAACTTGACAATAAACAACAAAAAAAAAAAAATTTTTATGGACAGAAAAATATTTTTAATAAGCGCAATCATTTATTGATTGATTTGATGAACTAGTTTAACTTATGACTGATCCTTGTTGCATAAAATTGTTGATGATCATTTTGCATATTAAGATATCCTGAGTTATTGATACTAAGATATAATCACTTTAACAACAACAAAAAATCAATTGAGTGTGTTTGAGCCATTCACTTGGGTGAAGAGTTGAGTTCTCTGTGTGTGTGTAGAAAGCTGCTAGCTCTAGAGGAGTTACAGTGTATTTTACGCATACAAGAACTATTGTTCATTTTTAATGTACAGTAAGAATAAATTGTGAAAGAGGCTTTGAAAGTAGACATAATTCCATTGGTGTTTTGGAAATTGGAAGATGTTAAATAGAAATTTATTGGTAGTGCAAGTGTTGTTTTTATTTTTATTCGTTTTATCAGCTTCTTCTAGTTGTTTCTTTACTTATATATTTCTACCTTCACGGTGGCAAAGCGGTTAGGACTCTCGCCGACCATGCACATGGTCCGGGGTTCGATCCCCTGCCGAACACACACCTGATATCTATGGTCGGCCTGCAAAATTTGGGCTACCGATATCACATGCTGAAAATTCCATACCTGTACCAAAATACTGTGTGGAATCAAGCTGTAATCAAAAAAGAAAAAATTTATACTTATCTTAAGTGTGATAACCTAGATCAATGACTTCTTGGATTAAATGTTACGTTATGTATTTTATGTTCTACTGGTTGATTAGGATGAGTAGTTGTTTACTGACCATTTCAACCAGTAGTATATTTGCTAGCCCCAGATCAAAGGGATCTAAACACCAGACGGCAGTGTTCACTTGTTTGGGGTCCAGCTCATCAGCTTATACACACAAATCAGTTCCAGTGATGCGATCCCTTGTGAAAGCTCACCTCGAACTGTGTAAATAGCCAATACATTTTTAGATTGTGAATTTGACTGTTAAGGATTGCCATCCTTTAACCACTGTTGCTGCTTATTTGATGATTACGAGTTGAAATGTATACATTGCTAAATACATAAGTATGATATATATATATATATATATTATTTTATATTATTAGGAAATATGTTCAGTGAAAGATAAATTACTACTGCCCACCCTGTCTAATCAGAATAACGCAAATTGTTCAAAGAAATCAGAATTGACAAAATGTATTTGGAGTGGACCGAATATTACAAAACCAGGTGAGTTATTGACTGTCTTAATGTTACTACTAGTTATTAAACTAAGTGATTACGCTTAAATTGTTTTTGTAACTTCAAATTATTATTATTATTATTATTATTATTATTATTAAGATATAATCCTATAGTACAAATAGACGCTTAAATTACTGTTACACTGATTTATGGAATTTTAATGCCTACTTTTCCCTCAACAACCTAGACATATACCTTATTAGTCAGATAAGTGTTTGTACTGAGTAAATGAGTTGTATTATTATTGCTATACATATTGCTTCTGTCCATAAAGTTCTCACACAATACATACTTGTTTATTGGTGCTATGTTTAGTAGTGTAAAGTATGACTCAGGTGTGTTAATTCATTAAATATTAGAAACATTAACTAAAAGTACATTATGAGCACCAAGAGATGTACTACACAAATTGTTGTCTCATAGTTTGTTCGACAACTGGTCACATAGGCCTATGCAGGTTCCTGCCTTAAGACGCCATATAATACACCATATAATACAGCATAAATTCATACAAGAAACTATTTTTATTATTATTATCGTCATCATCATTTAATTCCTTTGCGTTCCCAGTGGAACAAAGGGTTTCGAGTTCCAGCTTTGAAGTTTTGGTAGCAGCAGTGCTTATCTTTTACTGGCTGGGGTTGCTAGCCTCACACTCAACCTCTCCTCCTTACCATCGGGTTTTCTACCGGTTAAGCGAAGTTTATAAGTGTGTCGGGCAGGTATCGAATCTCGGACGACGTGAATGGTTGGTGAGGATTCTACCACTGAACGAACCACTGACACACACACACACAAAGCTATACTCAGCTAATTTCAGTAGATGATACAGGCATATAATCACACCGCTTTATTGTTATGACACAGTTTAACTATTCCCACAGTGTCAGCTTAGTAGGAAAGGCTTTTAAAGCGAAACAAGTATTGTAAGATATATATATTTTTAGTCTATTTAAAACATTAATCTTCTTTCTTTTTTTAAAAAACAAAACAACAACTTTATGACGCAAATAGGAATCAGACAAAGATCTAACGTTATTTCAGACACTACTGCAATTCACGTATAGCACAATGCACGTATATTTCTGTTTGCCCGAATTGTCAACTGATCATAATATATCTAATGGATCAACACACTAAACAAGCAGTTTTGTCTAAAATTACACAGAAATATCATCAATATGTATTACATAATATAAAATATTAGCCTGCTTATATATTTTGGTATTGTTTATATTTTGTAGTGCCTATAAGACCTGTACCAGAAGCGTTTAAAGTCAGGTCATCCAATGTTTTACCATCTCTACAAAGTAAATCCGTGCAAGAACATCAACAGCCGCAGCAGCAGCAGCAACAACAACAACAGCAACATCATGGATTAACAGGTCAACAGCAGACTGCTTCAGATCAAAAGGTGTTATCAACACCTGTTACTTATCATGATATGACAAATAACTGGACTAAAACCACTGTCAGCTTGACAACAGCTATCGTCAATACTATAACTGATTCCCCTGCTTACATCATCAACCCTCCTCCTTCTCCTATCTGTATTGATCTCGTTTCTCCTGTTAAAACTTCAACTGTTGAAACTACCTTAGACACTAGTCCATCATGTCAGACATCTCAACAATCTCAGAATAAACTTGTTACAATCTTACCTGCTAATCAATCAGATAAAATCAATAAATTTCAATATCGTTCACTTCATTATAAAAAAAGATTAAATTTTGTAAGACATAATAATTATAAAAAGTGTTTATCTACTTTGCATAATCTACAAGTATCTACTACTAATGCTAATACTACTACGACGGCGACATGTTTACGTGGAAAATATCGATGTCAAGATTTTCATTCATTGCATAGTGTTAAATCTTATCCTTTAAGAAAACACTGGCGTACACATACGGGTATTCGACCATATATTTGTCATCATTGTGATATTTCTTTTACAAATCGTGGCAATCTAAGCAAGCATATGAAATCACGTTGTCATCATGACAAGTGAGTGATTTATTTTCAATATTTTTTATATTAATTTTATAGTGTTTTATAGTTTAATTAATAAACTACATCTCAACACAATTTTGAACTGGCGATCTCTTTTGATTTGTATTTAGTTAGTTAATACCAGGGGACTGGAGTTCTCTAGACAACGTAAATTGAAATAAGTGAATGAGAGAATCTTATTCTACACAGGTACTATAGTGTAGACTAATGCTCATTTACTGCACAAATCCGTGTACACGGTACAGTCAGTCCTATAACTGATTAAGGCTGTTTTAGTCATTCTATAAACAAGTTATTGATAAAAATTATGAATTCATCAATAATTCGTGCGTCGGTGGCGCAGCGATTAGCACTCTCGCCGACCATGCACATGGTCCGGGGTTCGATCCCCTGCCGACGCACATCTGATATCAATGGTCGGCTTGCAGAATTTGGGCTACCGGTATCACATGCTGAAAATTCCATACTTGCACCAAAATACTGTGTGGGATCAAGCTGTAATAAAAAAAATAAATAATAATTGATCCAATCATATATTTTCAAGAGAACATTAGTTTTTAAAAGAAAACTCACCTCAATTGCCTAGTACCGGGCTATGAGTTACACTTATTGTGTGCACGGTTAGATGATAGTTAGTACCCAGTTGGCCACACTTCAGTAGATGGGTAGACTACTGATAATAATTATTTATTAATTAAAACATAAACTTGATGTATTATAGGCTCCAAAAGATGTGCCACAGAAGATCTCATAGTTTGTGAGAGAGCTAGTTTACTGTCCGGGCACACAAGCCTTAAGAGGCCATCCCCCTTGAACCTTTGGTTTGAATTCTGATCCACAAGGTAGTGGAACAGCGTATGGAGGTGCATTCCGATGATTTCCGGTGACTAAAACTAGTTCATACGTCATTGGATCGTTTTTGAATGTGGAGCCCATGTACACCAAATGTTTGTAATCAGGGTTTTCCAGTTCGTGTTTACCCTTCCACTTTTGTGAGGAATACTCCGGCTGAGTGAAGAAAGTGAGTAGGGATTGACCTGGCAGAGGCCTCTATGAACTCATGACCATATGAGAAACAACTCAGGAGAAAGACAGAAATATACTATCCACCTTCGTCTGTAAAAGGTTGTTTATGGATTCTACTGATAATAAGCGCTATTTACATCTATATTTTACTTTCGATCACAACTAGTAATCTTTCCATTGTTTGAGAATATTAGTAGTATACTTTGCATCAAAATCGATTGTGTAGTTTCAGGTCAAACAGAAACAATAACATATCTGAGATTTACAGTGTAGATTTCAACTGTATACTGTTGTATTTGAGTAATTATTCTCTGTGGAATTTCATCAAAGTGATGATTGATTACTCTCGTAGACGTAGTATTTCTGGTTAAAATAGTTCCATTTTCTTATATACATATTAAGGCTATATATATATATATATATATATATATATATATATATATATATAGCCTTAATTTCTCCCACTCACAACCATGAATTGATTTAAACTAATCAGTCAATAAAAACACAATGTCTCTTTGTTTGATTTTACATAGAATGATTTTAATAAGTGTGATCAATGTGTTAATGACCTTTCTATAGTAAGGATTTCTGTCTCTCTCTCTTACACACACACACATACACACAAACAAACACACATATATACTCTATACGTGTGTTTGTGTGTATGTTCATCTCATGTTGATCACATTGGCTTAAGTGTGTTATTCTCACTTTTCTTATGCTGACTAGTTAAAATTCAATTCATATTTTCATTTAAAAATTAGTATGATGAGCTGGTTAGTTTTTATGTTATTTTTGTAAAAAAACAAAAGACAAACTAAAAATGTGATTATAAAGTACAGATAGTCAGTATTGTGTGTTGTTTGTGTGTACACAGAATTAGGCATGTCCGTTACAGTTTGATATGGATAGTGTTTTGGTTGGTTAACTAAGCAGCTGTCCCTTTCTATCTACTAAAAATATTGATGTGGCCATAAGATGTCCTCTTACTCTACATCCAGTTGATTATGACTATGATGGTTATGATTCTTTTACTAGTTCTGGTTTGTGACAAAATCTGCTAACTGTCTTAATGTCGAAATACTCTCATGTAACCATACGTTCATAGCCTGTGCTAAGTAAGTCCTATTCACTACGTTCACGCTGTGGAGGTGTTCCTCACAAAAGTGAAACGACGAATGGATTGACAGACATGCATGTCTACCTAGAAGAGCTTGGAAACCCTAATTCCAAATGTATAGTGTACATGGGCTTCAGATTGTGAATGGGTCAAATGGCATATGAACCTGTTTTATCACCGCAGAACATGTGAATGCAGCTCCATAGGCTGCTCCACTGCCTTTTGGATCACATTTCGAGTCAAGGGCTTGGGGAGGGGGCTTGTCGCTTAAGGAAATCACCTACTTTGGTTTGGGCGTTCGAGCAGTATCCCAGTCATTGAATAAACTGTGAGATTTTGTGTGGCGCATCTCTTGATACCCATAATGTACCAAGTTTATGTTTTAATAAGTAATATCTTTACAAATCCTAAATATAAATGTTAGAATTTAATTGAATTTTAAATTTTCCCGTCGATTGATTGGACCAGAGTTCTCGGTCTCAAGCTGACTTGTCGGCTTCTTGTGCAGATGCTTCGACGATGTCTGGGTATGTAATTAAAAGTTAATTGGTAGATGGTTCGAGCGTCGGTGGGGACATCATCACCCACTGGTGAATGCAGGCACATCCTACTGACGAGTCCTGAATAGAACGAAACGCGCATCCTGGATTCCACTACTAGTCACCATCCACCAATTAAATGTTAGAATTGTTGAAAAGTCATTACTGTGTGTTTTTTGAAGCTTAAATACCATACTTGCCCAAGAATAAATGCATGATTAGTCATACTGCTGTGTAAATTTGCTTATAGATGATATGAAATCATTGGATATCAAAGCACTACTTTAGTTGTTTTTAGTAGACTATGTCTTGGAAAAGTCAATCATAAAGAGAATAGCCTAATTGGTGACTTTCATGAAAGTGTTGCTTTCATTGTAGGCACCAGGCTTTTGGCAAATTGCTTTTAAAGGTTCGACTCCCAATCTACCTATACTTAAGCAGCATAGGCGATCCACTAATACCATAGACTTTCTCGCTCATTTTAAGGAGTAAGTTTATTGCGAAAATGTGAGATTACTATCACAGTTGTCACAGTTCTCTGTTATTCCCGATACAAAATGTCCGTCAATATGTGGTCTAAATAGATATTAACACTTCCTTTGTGTACATCAACATGAAAAATGTGAGCAGCATATATAGTTTACTAACTCAATGTAGCAAATTCCTCAAAAGATTGTATTGTTATTTTCTTAACTGAATATTTGGTTGTTTTGATTGGTTTACACTGCTTCTATTTTGATTGGTCGATTTCACCTGTTTGTATTAAGAAAATAAAAATAAAAATGTAACATCAAAGTAAATTTTCTTTTCGTTGAATCAGTTGTTTTCAAAAGCTGTGCCTTCATATTTATACTCAGCCGGAAATTCATTAGAACCGGTAAAACAATAGTCGTGCACTACAGAAAATAGTTTACTCAATGAAAGGAATAATTTAGAAAGTAATGGAAAGGTGAAAATGAAGAAGCGGAAGTTGGGATTCCGTAACAGACGTGAAATTCAGGAATGTGGATGCAGAAATTGAAAGGATTGTGAAGTATGTATTTGAAATCTATATTCGAAAAAGGAGAAGATAACAGAGATAAAATTATAATGGTGGCGTTACTCTGTCTATGATATGGTGAATTTGTGTTGTTTTTGAATATAGACATCAGGTTTAAAGTGGCGAAATACATGCTATGCAAAAGTGAATCATTAGATATCCTCCAAGATTATGTTGGGGGATTCCGGAGGTCGAGATGTCAGGGTGTTCCGTAATTCGCTTACTGAGTTGATGCTGTATGAAGAAAATGTACTTAAAACCGTAGGAACAAGTTAAATGACAGAGGTACGTTGGGGGATGTGTGTATATGTGACCAGGAGCAGTCTTTTATCTTTATTGTATTGATGAGTTACTTACCTATTGGGAAATGTGATTCTCATGATAACTCTGCGGAAAGTCTTCTTCAGAGGGTTGGGGAGAAAATTTCTGAGAATTTCAGCTTCAAATTTCATCCTCGAACTCATGAATGGAGTTTTCTTCGAGAAAGTCGGAATCTTAAGTAGTTGTATTTTTCCTGCAGTCAATAGGTCTATCCATCTTTTTAATGAGATGTTACGTAAAAATTCCAATTCAATCACCAATGTATCTTCAGAATGGATCTTCCGAATCCTTGGACGTAACGAATATATTAGTCTATTTTCTAATCTGTGAGGTATAGATATGGGAATTAATAAACTGTCCAGTTCCTCCTCTCTTTCTGTATATTGGTCTCTGGATAGAACTGTCTGATCTTCTAGTAATTAAGAAATCGAGGAATAGAAACATCAAGTTTGATCCGCACTGTAGATGAAATTCTTGATCACAAATGCTTGAGGTATCATGTACACAAGCTGTCGTAAAGATAGACATAATTGAAAAAAGATTGGGGACACTGTTTTCAACACTGGTTATGTAGTAATCAACTGGAAGTAAATGAAGAGGAAGCCCCAAATGGCCATGCCATTTTGTGTATGTAGAATAGTCTGTCAAACTTGAATTCGAGGTTAAAATTGTAGCTGAGAAGTAGTTCTTTACGACAGCCTGCTTAAGCCACTGAGCTACCAGAGTTTCCATCCACCAAAATGCATCAACTCCTCAGTCTTTCTTATTGTTTTAATTATGAAATTATATCAATTATATCACCACATGATATTGCACACATTTAATTAGCTTTCAGCGAGATGCTGAGCGATTCTTAAAGGGAATGAGGAGAAGGTATACAGAATTGGTTGTCTCTTCATATGCAACAGCGTTATGTCACATAATATACTTCAGATTGTTACTTTAC